TGAGCTATGCTGCAAAAGTGTTTCCCGCCGTGATATATGAGACTAGTAGTATAGATAATAGGTGTACCGTCACACTTTGCATAAACAGCTTAAATCATAGGTAGGCTTAGCATACAAGAGGCAGTCGATGGTTCAGGTGGCCTGTTCTCGGAACAAACAGTAGAGGCGACAATTACGAAGCCTCGACCCTCTTTATTGCTTTCCTCTTGCTCCTGCAGCCCTCCAGGAGTATGGCGGACAAAACAGCTGCGGCCAATAAACGCTGGACTGTAAACCAGCTCGTCTATAGCGGGGCTAACGTGAGCAATACTAACGGGAGTATATATAGGTGCACGCAATTCTGTCTGTGCAATGTTTACTTTAACGATTTTTTCTTGCTGGAAATTTTGAGCTGTTTGTATTAAATTTCATTGTATTTATGAAGTTTCTAGAAAAAATATTTTTCGTTTTGTACTTGGTATAAATTACGATCATGAAGATCCATCATATATCCGTGGCGTCCATCAGGGAGCCCTGGATTAGTTCATATTTTCCAGGATGATCAGGCACGGACGGACAGCGTTGCGAACGGCAGCTCTGGGGCTGGAGTGTCGAGTCAGGTCAGAATGCCAAGCGAATCACATGAAGAATGTGATGAACTCAGACGCGCTTAATGAGGAACGCTCGTAATTTTGCTCTTCTCTTTGCTTACTGTTCATTATAAGCTTGCTGGTCAGAGAGCCAATGCTGTTATCCTGAACATGAGTCTGCTTAATTCCTACACGTCATCGTAGAGTCAGAAACATTAAGTATATAGCCAGCCTCCAATACTTATTAAATGAACTCTGATAATGCGTACGCGATCAGTGGTGTTAAAATTTATAGTATACTAGCGTTGTACACTTGTCGTCTCGTGTTAGGAGGTGAAGATGACGCTCAATAGCTTGATCATAATTATTATTACATTAACCTTCCTGTGTGAAGACCACCTGCTCAAACCGTATTACTACTTGTGTTAAATCTTACTTTTCCGTAACTCAATTCGAGTTTGTGCGGGTGTGTTTTCATTTCTTTTTGTTCCATTTAAATGCGTGTTAGCGACTCTGTGTTCGCTCGTTTAAGATCTTGTACAGGCTTCACGCCAGGGTTTGAAATCCGTGGGGTTGTTAATTGACTCCTTGGAGCTTCAGAGTTTAATTTATTTTTGTCACTCAACCTCAGCGCTGTGAATTAACTTGCATGCGCTTAACTCTACTTTAGTTACACTCGCTATCCTGTTTTATCTATTTCTTTGATATAGTTCGCTCTGCATACTTCTCTACACTTTGTCTAGGGTTTCTCATTGGAAACAAATAGGTTAGTTAATTTGATTATTGTTCTGATTATATATTTGCTCATAATTTACTGAAACATTTTATGTTACACCTCGAATCAATTATATGATGGGTGCTAAACTGCTTATCTGTCTAATGCAGATAAGAATCCAGCCAACCACTGCTACTTTCCTACTTTCAAATTGGTCTTCAACCCTGAAGCTTCTGTTTATTTGACCAGACCCTTAATTGTTACGTTCTGTTGCCACCGGCAATATGGTGAGGATTGCATGGAGTCTGTATAGACGTTCAAACTGTATCTCTATAGACGTTCTGTATAGACGTTCAAACTATATCTGTATACAGATATCTGTATAGACCTTCAAATCTGAAAAAGGGACTCATTCCATTGAATTTAAATAGTGTGATCCTAGATTCCTAATTATCGATCCAATACAGATATCTGTGTATTATACTACAGTGAGTTCCACATCGCGCTTATATCGTTTACCCTGGCTTCGTTCGGTGAACCACTTCATTTTGCTGAACCACTTCAAAAAGTTTCAACGGTTTCATTGTTCTTTACTTTCCTACTGTGCTGCAATTCGTGTGTTCTGTGCTATTCTTCGTGTGTTTTCTGCTGTGTGTTCTGAACTTTGCTATTGTCATAAGATTACTCCTGTTCTGGACTCTTTGCTGTGTTGATGGAAATCACTAAAATTCGAGTGCAAAATTCATCTCAAGGATTGTCATCCAGTTGTAATTGATAGGCGGCAGCTGAGAGAGTCTCGCTATCATTTGGAATGGAAGCAAGCGAACGGACAAACAGGCGGAAGACTAGGCAGGGGGGCAGACTAGGCAAGCGGGCAGACTAGGCAGGCGGGCAGACTAGGCAGGCATTCAGACTAGGCAAGCGGGCAGACTAGGCAGGCGGGCAGTCTAGGCAGGCGGATAGGCTTAGCATACAAGAGGCAGTCGATGGTTCAGGTGGCCTGTTCTCGGAACAAACAGTAGAGGCGACAATTACGAAGCCTCGACCCTCTTTATTGCTTTCCTCTTGCTCCTGCAGCCCTCCAGGAGTATGGCGGACAAAACAGCTGCGGCCAATAAACGCTGGACTGTAAACCAGCTCGTCTATAGCGGGGCTAACGTGAGCAATACTAACGGGAGTATATATAGGTGCACGCAATTCTGTCTGTGCAATGTTTACTTTAACGATTTTTTCTTGCTGGAAATTTTGAGCTGTTTGTATTAAATTTCATTGTATTTATGAAGTTTCTAGAAAAAATATTTTTCGTTTTGTACTTGGTATAAATTACGATCATGNCACAGAACGGCATAGGACACGCCGTGTTTTTGGAGGCGTGAGAACACTTGACTCTGATGAGGACAACTTCTCCTGTCTCTTATACACATCTCAAGCACTTCTACTTTCAAATCGGTCTTCAACCCAGCAACTTCTGTTTATTTGACCATACCTTTAATTGTTATGTTCTGTTGCCACCGGCAATATAGTGAGATGAGAGAGAGAGAGACGTTCAAACCTGACAAAGGGACTCTTTCCTTTGAATTTAAATATTGTGATCCTTAACTCCTAATTTTCGAACCAAAACTGAAATCTGTGTATTATACTACAGTGAGTTACACATCGTGCTTATCCTTTACTCCTGGCTTCGTTCTATGAAGCACTTCATTTTGCTGAACCAATTCAAAAAGTTTCAACGGTTTCATTGTTCTTTAATTTCCAACTGTGCTGCAATTCGTGTGTTCTGTGCTATTCTTCGTGTGTTTTCTGCTGTGTGTTCTGAACTTTGCTATTGTCATAAGATTACTCCTGTTCTGGACTCTTTGCTGAAAGAGGATTAAAGATTTAGATTGTAATTAAACTTGCTGATGTAACTGATATTTTTGTAAGAACCATTAGTTAGTTTTATAAAAGTCTGATGTTGTGAAGTAAGAATCTTTCTGAAAGACAAGCTCTTTATTTTTTACAAGTTTTCAACTTTTGCGTTTTTTTATGTAAACAGAGAGATTAAAATAACGTTTTATTATTTCCTATTAAGTACACATATACATGAGATTTGGATGCGGCAATGAATTAACGTTGTTTGGGGTCTACCCTTCGCTAGCATTGCGTTCGATTTTTCCAATAACATAATAAATATAGCTTACCGAACGTCATCAGACTTGCATTGATTATTTGTATCCGAGAAGTACACCTAATTCCTTTCTTTAAATTTTTATATTCCTAAATGCCAGAAAAGAATTTTGTTCGAAAACGTCGATTTAATTTTCATTGAATTTCAACTCACCGAAGTTACACAGCTATAAGACTTATGACTGGAAAGCACCCACTTCTTCAACTAGGCTGCAGTACAGACAATACAGGCTGTGTAAGCTGCATTGTATGCTGTGTAGGTTGCAGTCAGTGCAGGCGATATAGGCTGTTTAGGCTGCAGTACAGGCTGTGTAGGCGCAGTATAGGCTGTCTAGGCCTATACTGCCTAGGCTGTTACGTAGGCTGCAATATAGGCTGTGCATGTGTACGACAATGTAGGTGGTTTATACGACATTATGGGCTGTATAGACTGCAGTATAGGCTGTCTGGGCTGCATTATAGGCTGTGTGCACGGCAATATAGGAGGTTTATATGACATTATGGGCTGTGGAGGCTGCAGTATATATAGGCTGTGTTCACTGTACTGCTGAATAGCCTCTCCATAGAAAGCCTAACGAGGAGGCTGAGCCGCGAAGATAATCACCGTCGCCCAATAATCAAGAGTGAACGGCCTGACTCACCACATGACAGTTACTGAGCGCCTGAGGCGGGCACGGTGCCCAGACTCACCACATGACAGTTACTGAGCTCCTGAGGCGGGCACGGTGCTCAGACTCATCACATGTCCGAAGCGTGAAGTGCAGGTGTCAGTGGCTTGTTATTTAGTTGCCGCGGCAACAATTATCTTCGTAATTAGCGTTCCTGTTCAGGAGTCAACATGGGGTTTGGCTATACGTAATTCTCAGCGATTACGGTGAGAGCGATTAAAAGGCTCACTCAAAGAATTATGATACGTTAATGTGAGAGAATCTGACAAAACAAGCTCGTTTAGTTCATTATTTTATCCGTTACGAATCCATGTGATTGACCGAAACGAAATACGCTCGCAATTCGTTATCTTAAAACTGAAAGAGCCTAGGATGAAATAAGTTTCAATTGCCATCTTGTTACGCTTTCTATGAAGGACATAAAAAATACGCTGATGAAGTTGACTGTCTCTCGTTCAGTGCGAGAAGCATAGACAAAATGTGCAAATTTCTCTAAATTCTTAGGGTAACTGAGAGGGACCGAGACTAAACAATATTATATCGTAGAATATCTCACCCTTACTTCGGTAGGCTGGGACCTATAGCCGAGGCAGAGACAGACATTATTACATCTGTGAATATCTAACCCTCTTGATTCTAACTCTAAGTAACAGAACTTTTATCCTTCAAATCGATTATTTTCTAGCGGTAATTGTACGATAGCTTATAAATGTTGGCCATGTAATGCTTACCGGCAAGAAAAGAAAAATGGGGTCGAATAGTTTATAATCTTCAACTCATTGGTGCTTTCTTTTTCGAAAACATCAATGATACGTTCTAGTTTACGATCATCGTTTTAATCCCTCACATGGTAAATATAACTTGCTCTCTATTTCTTTGCAGGGCCTTGGGTTTTTATTGCTGTTCCCGCTGAGTTGGTGCTCCGTGTGGACTTCAAATCCCCGCATGGCTCCTCAATCCGCCGTCCCCCCAACTGGGGGCGGGGGCAGCGAGTTCTTACATCTTCTGGCCAGTTCTGAGGACCGTCTAAGCAGCGCTGCAATTTACCAGCATGGCGACACAGAACGGCATAGGACACGCCGTGTTTTTGGAGGCGTGAGAACACTTGACTCTGATGAGGACAACTTCTCTGTCACCGAGAAGTTCCCTGCGCCTGTCACTCTATCCCGCGACCACGTCACAGTTGATGACGTAGCTGAAGACTATGCCCTCAATGACGAAGATGACCAATGCTGGGAAGACATCTGTAGTGAAGGCTTTTCGCCCCCACCTCGCCCCCCGGATTTTTTCTTACCCCCTCCCCCCTTGCCCCCTTTCCTGCCCGGGCTGGTCCGACTGGCCGCCGAGACACAACAACGCGGACCGGACGACTCGGGCCCGGGCTGCGGGCTGTGCCATTGGGCCATCTACGGCAACTCATCGTCCACCCTCTTGGACCAGCAAAATCGTTAGTAAATCTCAGTTATATTTGTTTTATGGGCAAAATTAGCTATTGACATTGTAACACAAAGCTAAGTCCTTTAACATTTATGTATACTTTGACGTACAAGTGATTCTAAAACTGTACAGTTGCAATTTATTGCAGACGAAGCCATGAATTGCTTTCGTTCAAAACCGTGACATCACATTCTCCTTGATAATCTTTTGTAAGCTCTTCACCACCCAACACCCCAAGTTTATTTAAAAGGGCAATTTTAATTTCCGTGTTCATTAGCTTCACGTTGCCAGCAAACTGTCGGGTTTGTTCGAGCATCCGGCACTCTTAATTCCATCGTAAGCGTTTCAATTTCCGCAGAGTTAACCTAAGTCTCCGGATTACAGATCGAGTGCTCATATCTGGCGTGCAGCAGCCGCTGAACATAATTTAAAAATCCGATAATGCGCGAACAATTTTATTTCCGAGCGTTGGTAGAGAGCCAGCAGAGCGATGGCAAACATCATGGCTGTTCATGAACGAATAAATATTTCCAAGTCCCACGATCCCATTGAAATCATATGAATATTTGAAGCTCTTATTAGCTAAAATCACCAAATAATTGTGACATTTCTCACATAGTAAGCGATGGTTTTAACAATTATGGTTCTTGCTTATATCAACATTTTATTTTATGTCCTATTCTGCTGAAGTTTGAATTTCACAACTAACTGCGGAAACTCCAAAATTACACGGGCTCCTGAAAGGCAGCAATATGTACAGCATGTGCCTGCAACATCACTTGAAAAATTATATTAATTCAGCAGTAATTCCTAGACTGTCTGTTCATCAGTTCCTAGCTGCTCGTGAAAAAGAAAATGTAATGATGAAAATGCAATCACAATGTTGATTTTTCTTGCCCTATGCAGCACCGGTTGCTCGCGCTCCTCTCGTATGCGCCGAGCATACCTGCTGTTTTATTGCAATAAGTTTACATGCCCGCCTTTTGGGATTTTTTCCCAAGCAAAATGAAGCCCAACAATTTTCCAAGCAAAATGAAGCTGATTCGTTGGACGCATTCAGTGTCGTATTTTATTTGTGTTGCTAAACTTTTTTCTTATTCGTCTTAAAAAATATTTCCAGTCGTCTTAAAAAATATTTCTTTGATTTTGCCCTTAATTTTTCGAATTTGATGTATTTATTTCGATTCGTCATGCGATAAAGCAGACTTTACTCTTTGACAGCACCGAGTCCACGCAGTTCCCGCATGACAGTTCCGGCTGACAGCGCAGTCAACATGTCGCTGATATTCGCTGACGACACTGCAAGCTGTCGGATCTTTGCCGCGTCACTTTCGCAGCATCCCGGCAGCGTATCTAATAAAGCTTCCTCGGTAGTTCCCTCGCTGTCGTCACGGCGTCAAATTGCCTTTGGCCGGCCCAGCCATGGGCTCCAGCTTCTTCCTGTGCCTCGGACGCGCGCAAAAGAAAATTTCGACACATTTCCGGCCATATTTTGGTGACGTGCGTGTGACAGTTGCGGGCGCTGAGACGCTGAGCGAACGCTTGTGTTGAGCCGCTCGTTGGGAGAGCTTTGTCGTGCTCCCGCGAAGGAACGACGGGCGAATTATCGGTCTAGAATTTTTAAATTTAGCTACGCATCCGCGTCAAAAATTTACGAAGAGGGTAAGTGAAAATTTCTATTTTTGAGTGTAATTTGAACCATGAAAAGAATGATAGTGTATTGCCTCTATATTTCCCTACCAAGTCCCCGCAAAGAATTATAAAACGTGCAATCAATAGAGACGATAATAAAAATCTAAAATTTATACCTTGCACCAAAATACCAAGCGCACGTGCATCTTGATCAAGATTTTTTCGTGCTGCCTATCAAAGTAAATTATAAACGATATGCTCCCGAGAGCGAAAGAATTCACTTTAAATTATGTTTAATTACTTACAAATGAATAATCAGTCACATATTTAGCTTCACTCCTGCCGTTTAATCTGCTATTCGAAAGAAAAAATCGAAAAATATCTCATTAGCTAATATGACTAATTAATTTATTAGTCCAAAAGTGGCTACTTCTGTAGAAATGCTCGAAATTTTCAGCGCTAATTTATATCACTAAGTAAATAGAAGTGTCAATCAAAAAGTTCTAGAAGCATTATTGAAAAGCATTGTTTTCCTAACTAGGGATTCTCCAAGTCAAGCCCAATTCTACACAGAACCTGAGTATTCTATTCAAATCCAAACAAGTTAGTTCCGTCATCATTAAACATATTACTAAATTTAGCCCTTTATATGACTATATAAAAAGTATGACGATGGTTTTCAATCATATCAGCTTCATTAATTACATGATTTTGTATGGCTACCGAAATGTTTGCATGGCGCCAGCTTCCTGCATCCCATAAACTCCCGGCGTGCTGAGCTCGACTGTCTCTCGCATCCGCAAAGAAGATAATTTATTCATCGTAATGGCAGATAGCCAGCCAAGGCGGACTTCCTCGCATGAGTGTTATACTTTGCAGCAAAAAAATGGAAACTGAGCCGAAGAAAAAAAAGCTCTTTATGAAGAAAGAGTGGCTGTCGTGCGCTGCTTTGAGCAGCCGACATGGCGTCGGCACCCTCGCACTCTTGACACAACAGGCAGGGAGGGAATCTTCCCCTCTTACATAATGCGTTCTAGAGTTTGCGCTCGGCTTTGCTGTCAAAAATGTTAACGCTTCTCGAGATGCGGAAATCGTGAAGATAAAATATCTAGATTTGCTTAGCATCGAACGCTTTCTCGCCAACAGCAACAGCCACGGCGTCTCGAACTGACAAGGCTGAGCATAGTTCTCTTACATGATTGATGATTAAAGCTATTAAGTCCATTTGGGGGTCAAATTTGTCACCTGCGCATTATCGAAGCCATTTTTTTGCAATAGATATCTCTGAGTTTTCAGTTATTCGGTCATGCGAGATTAATTTAAAATTCAATTTAAAACCGTTATTATACAAGTAATTAAGATTGATTAGTCCAAACACATCTGCAGTGTTGAAAACAATTTAATGAAAAAATTCTTCGATTAGCTGTTAATGTGATTAGAAAACAATCAATCTCATATTGGGTGACTGAAAAATACTCAATCATTAATGACGTCGCCACCGTACTCAGTTCTATGGCCATGTTAGATCGATAGATTCGAATTTTGTTGGTTTAATTAATAAATCTCATAATATTGCACCGAGAGTATTTCCCTTACGTTGTCCATCGACAATCACTTTTTCACTAATATATTTACCTCAAATCATAACTGAACCGAACTTCAAATTACGATTTTCAGACCGTCAACACCTCGTGCGAACATTTTTACTCTCGTCAAATAAAGTTTTAATTATTTAAATTAGCAGCAAAAAACCCTGCTTGCATGGTGTCTGGCACCAGACCCACTCGCCTGGTGAGACGGCGGTAGCAGCGAGACCATCGTGTCCTATGGTTTATGGTCGTATGACAACGCGAGGGAGGGCAATAAGTAAGGAGCTGGTTTATGGTTTATGGTCGTATAGCCACAGCGAGGGAGGGTAATAAGTATGGAGCTGGTTTATGATTTATGGTCGTATGGCAACAGCGAGGGAGGGCACTAAGTAAAGAGCTGGTTTATGGTTTATGGTCGTATGGCAACAGCGAGGGAGGGCACTAAGTATGGAGCTGGTTTATGGTTTATGGTCGTATGGCACAGCAACGGAGGGCAATAAGTAAGGAGCTGATTTATGGTTTATGGTCGTATAGCCACAGCGAGGGAGGGTAATAAGTAAGGAGCTGGTTTATGGTCGTATGGCATAGCAACGGAGGGCAATAAGTAAGGAGCTGATTTATGGTTTATGGTCGTATAGCCACAGCAAGGGAGGGTAATAAGTAAGGTGCTGGTGTTATGGTTGTACGGCACAGGGAGGGCAATAAGTAAGGAGCTGGGTTTATGGTTTATGGTTGAACTGCCACAGCGAGAGCAATAAGTATGAAGCGCACGCTTGTTATGAACGTTATCCTCAGAGTGCTGCGTGGCATGAGGCTCGATCTGTGCGACTGTTGTGGCGCCTTCAGATTGGTGTGCATTATAAGTTGTGCGGCAGCTCCTCTGCTAACTACTTTGCGCTGGTTTAGGGCAGCTATAGGAGACTATACGAAGTTAGTAATAAAATGGTTAGTAATAAAATATGTCAATCAAAACAGTACCTTTGATGCTCTTCAATGAAGGGGATGGTTTTCACATTAGTATCCTTGAATTACACTCTATGCATTATTTTTACAATGAAAACTTTTGTTTCCATGCGGATCTTCTCGAGATTCTCAGAAATTGAAAATCTCTATACAGCCGGTAACCTTTTACGTGTCGGTAAACGTGTTTTCGTTCGTTAATTATCGAGGAACTCATTGTGTTGAAGATAGAAGCGTTCGACACCACTCTCTTAAAGACAAGATGACAGAGTGCAGTCCTGCAGCTGTGATGCTTCCCTCACTCCTGCCCTCTCTTGAGGGTTCTCTTGTTCCCCTCACACGGCCCACGGGGCACATCATCCCCTCACTTCTCTATCTCGTCGACGTTTGTTTATTACACAGCATCAGGACGTCTGTAGTCACTTGAAGCTGTAGCAGATAATGGATCATCTGCACTCCTGCACCGCTACAAGACTGCGCATTAAAATGTCTGTGCTTAATTTAAGACGAGCTAGCGTTTAATTAAGTAATCAGAAATATGTGATGTGAGCTTTATTACCAAAAAATGCTTTCAATCGATAAGTTGATGACACTTTATGTGATCTATTCGTTTTTCACCTTAAATAATTTACTCTTCAAGCATCATCTGAAATTTATTGCTACTTAACTTATTCATTTTTGTGATTTCAGCGCCAGCAACATGCTACAGAGAAGACTTTATTTACGGCTAAATATACATTAATTTTTCATTGCATTTCGTAAATGCAAAGTTTTTGTAGCACATCCAAATATTAGACGGTACACAGTAAATGTACAGCAATCCCTCTCA